TATACTGAAATAGGTTTTTATCTCCTTTTATTTATTTTGCCCGTGAAAAAAAAAGCTTTTGAAGTTTGTACCTTTTCTAGATTCCTTTTGGGGCCACGGGTTGCATGATCATCAGCACATACCAACTTTTATATATGATTGAGCAGTTTATGTTGTTGCTTCGTATAATGATAAATTCTTATAGTTTATGATAGAGAAGACATTCCAACTTATAATCCTATCAATATGAAGCAGTTCATATGCAAGCTTTAGAATTATATATCAATAATGAGGAGATCATTCATTTCCAATGTATTCACCTCTCTTGAATCACCAATGTCAAATCATCTAAACTGAAAGGGAAACTTAAATCCATAGAACATTCTTTTTCTCTCTTACCACAATGAGTGCCTTTATTCTCTGCCATTTTAGCGTACAAGTTAGTTTTCCTTTGTGTGAATCAGAATAGTACAAGTGAACCTAAAAAACGGTAATCTCATTAATCTCTAAAAACACTCACCATGAGAAATTGTCATTAATCTCTAAATCAAATTTGAGAAAGGAGCCTTACGGTAACTGAGTCTTAGGAGTAGCAAACTCTTCCAACATAAAAGCATCACACACTAAAGGATGTGATAAGCTTTCTTAATGGTTTCACCCATTCCATTAAGCGCTGCACCAAATGATCTCATCGTAACTCTTTATACTTGTAGACGCGATGAATCCCATATTTTTCCAAGTCGCCGCTAGGAATTTTTTCAGAAAAATAAGCATCTACAACCATGGATGGATTAAGGTCTGGAGACAAGAAAAAGCAACACTTTCTACTTATGATTTCCTACGATTACTATGAAATTGGTTCTTTATATTGCCTTTGAACTTTTATTGCTTTGACCTCCTTCAATCACTTTGTCGAGTGAGTTACAATAATTTGTTCAATCAAGGAAGAAAGGGGATTGGACGAAATTCAAATCCAAATTAGATCAATTCGGAATATGGTAATTAATCTTAGATGCCTTGAAAGATTTGTTTTCTTTTACCATAGGGGCTTTGAGTTTGGAAATTCCGAGTCCTTCGTGGAGACAAACGATGACTCCTTCCTTGTCAATTTGGTTTCACCCTCATCTAACTTCAAAATCGAGCAAATCAGTGTCAATAACAAACACAATCATAACCCTTTAGTGGTCAATGATAACAAAGCGTCTTCAGCGAAACCAAATTGTCCACTGGTATTGAGAGGAGAAGGAGCACAGAAGCGTGGAGAGCAAAAGCGCCCTTGTCGTCGTTGCTGCGGAAAAGTCACTTAGCCGACTTGAACACAGCCAACATTGCCTGAGAAGTTTGTACCAGGCTATTTGAATTCAGCTTATGATGTGTTAGGAACTCGATCTCAATAGCGCATATCAAATCTTACGCTATGGAAAAGGGTAGAAATCAAAATCGATTTGCGAGCATGACGTTGGGGAAGCTGAGAAAGAATTAGCTGTGTATATTTTGTTGCGAAAGTTTATTTAAAGCTTCGAAACTTCTGAAACGTATC